TCTGGTTGAGGGATAAGGAAACCATGAAAACTCTCATGGCAACCAACAAGAAAGGCAGTGTGGAGAAGCTATGGTGGGAGTATTCGGTTTGGGTATAGACACAGAGGAGTGCCCAGTTTCAAGACTCTGTTTAAAAATTGGATTATTTTAATCAGGAGACCCATCATAATTTGAGGCCTTCAGATGCTCATGCTTTTATGAAGTGTTTAGTATAATTATTATATACATTAATCAGGAACTAGTGTCAACATACAAATTCTCAGTAAGGTGTATTACCCTCCTAAAGGCCATAAATAATCCTATTCTCTTCAACATAGGTTCCTATTTTTCATCATTTCCTCCCATTTTCTCTATGACAGAAAAATGTCTTCAGTACCATTCATGTTTGCCCTTTCTGCCTTGGATCCCACCGTATACACAGACCCTTGTTTAGTTTCCCTTTTTGAAACACAGGCAGCCTCAAATATGTTTTATATGATACACATAGACTGATTAGACAGCTTCTCACCTTATTTCCCTTTCCCAGTTTTCTTCTTCCTTCTTTTAAAAATGGAAAGCCTAACAAGGAACACGGTAGGGGAGTGCAAGTTGGGGAAGGTATTTAAGGTAAAATCAGAACCAGATTCTGGAGGGAAATGTTTAACAGGAGCTGATAAAAAAAAAAGCCCCATGTGAGGTCAGGTAGGAAAGACATATTCAGACAAATGTGTCCATATCTCTTTTTTTGATGTTGATTGCTTCAAACCAGTGACCTTATGCATATTCATTAGTATACCACCAAATAAAGTTTCATCAGAAGAATTTAGAATTTTGTAAATACAAAAATTCCTATTTAATCCACATATAGATTAATTGGCATTTTTTATTTTTTAGATATGTTCTTAACATAAAAATCATATTTTTGATCATCAATGTTGTCTACAATAGAGCACTGAAACAGGAAAAACTGTACATTACGTATGGTTTGTTATCACCGTACTGGGGATACCAATGTCTGTAGAAACAATGACACAAATGAATTAATCTAACCCTTCTAAAAAATGTATAATTTTTCCATTTTAATACTACTAACTTTGGTGCAGGACTTAGTGTCCATTGTTGTAGGTCTGGGGCTCCATATTCAGATAATCAAACAGATCATTCAATTTAGTTGGGACTTTGTAGACTATCTGTAGATTATATACAGTCCTTGCTCTAAAATATATTAGTACAGAATGACACAGTTATCCCTATTCCTGAATCAGAGTTTTATTTCTATGTTCAGAAAAGAAGAGAGAATTCAGAGTTGAAAACTTGAGAGGTGGAAGTAAGTTCTAACCCAAAAATACTCATATCTAGGCAGAAGTTCAGTCAATAAGACTTCTTGGTTGCATTTGGTTATTTTACAGAAAACAGGATGGGGTAGTATATGTAGCAAATTTTGACTGTATGTGTAATCATAATGGAAGTCATCTACTAAACACTCATTGTATGCCAGGCACTACTCTAAGAAATTTCAAATTATTATTTCATTTAACCCTTTAATTACCCTGTGCACTAGGAATTGCTGTTATTTTTAATATGAAGAACAATGTTGGCCTTAAATTCCTAATCATCCTGACATATATTATAAAAGATTAAGCCAAAATAACAATATTTACACTGACAGTAATTTCCACAAATTAATGTTGTAGTCTTTTATTGAGGTATAATTTATAGTAAATGAAATATACAGATCTGAAGGGTACAGGTCAATGAGTTTGGTAATGTGTATGCTATGTAACCACCAGCCCAATCAAGACGAGAATATTGCTGTCACTCCTGAAAGTTTCCTTATGTTCCTTTTCAGTCAGTCCAGCAATCTGCCACCTCCTGCCCCAACAGTGACATTCTCTATTACTATTTTTATTCACCACACCTTATTTTCCTTGTTCTGAAATTTCATATAAGTACTCTATGTACTCATGTTTCTGGCTTCTTTTTCTCAACATAAAGTTTTTTTAACTCATCTACATTATTGCATGAGTCAGAGTTCTTTTTTATTTCTGAGTAGTATTTCACTGAAGGAATATACTGCAATTTATTCATTCTCCTGTTCATTGATATTTGATTGTTTCCAGTTTGGGGCTAATGTAAATAAAGATACTAAGAACATGTATAAATCTTTTTGTGGACATATATTCTCATTTCCTTTGGACAAATACCTAAGGTTGTAATTGCTGAATAAGTAACTTTAAAAGAAACTGCCAAGCCATTTTCTATCACGGATACATCCTATTAATGTATAAAGGTTTCAGTTGCTTCACTTAATCACCAACTTGCAGTACTGTCGATCTTCTCAATTTTACCCATTCAAGTGGGAGTGAACTGGTATCTCACAGTGATTTGAATTTGCTTTCCCCGGATAACTAATGGTGTTGAGGTTTTTCATATGTTTATTGGCTGTGCACATATCTTCTTCGGGGAAATGTCTTTTCAAGTCTTTTGCTTTTTTATATACATTCCAGATAAAGTCATTTGTCGTGTGTGTGTGTGTGTGTGTGTGTGTGTGTGTGTGTGTGCGCGTGTTTGTGTATACACATATATAATGAATATTTTTTCCCAGATTGCCACTTGTTTTTATTTTATCAGTGTCTTTTCATAAGTTTTTAATTCTGATTAAGTTCAATTTATCAATTGTTTTCTTTTATCATCAGTTGTTTTTTTGTTCGTTTCGTAAGGAATCTTTGCTTACCCTAATGTCACAGAGATAGTTTTCTATGTTATCTTTTAGAAGCTTCATAGTTTTAGCTTTACTGTTTAGTACTAATATTCCTCTAGAATTAATTTTTGCGTATGGTATAAGATAGACATTATCAACCAACCGAGCAAAGAAATTGATTTTATTCAGGCTATTGCAATAGGGAGAGCACTGCAGATCCAAAGATTAGAGCATTTTGTCATGGTGCTTTTGCCTTAGATTTTATAGGGAGGAGTGGACAAGATTTAGGAGGGATGATTTATGGTTAATATTGTTTTTGTAACTGGGGGAAGTGTCTGCTGAACAGAAAATATTTATCTCTATATCTAGCTTGTTTGGGTGGGGGTGCGGTGGACAAACAGTTCTGATTTCAGCGTATCATTCCTGAGATAACAGGCAGGAAGTGGGAGACTATGTCTGGTCTTGTTAGAAGGTTCAGGCCAAAAGGGAAAGTCTGTATTTGGCCTTCTCACAGGTAAACAAGGTCGGGGTGTGGGGTGTGGGGTCATCTGTGAGTTTTATAGTAGCCATGAGAAAAAGTGCACAGCAATTCATATCTAAGTCACATAGGGAAGACAGGAAGGTTCTTTTCATGGCATTTCCCAGAGCATAAAAAGGCGAAGAGATGTTTAGGAAAACAAAAATTTGTAGGATTTCTTAACTCCATGATCTCGATTTCCATGTGTAAAGTTGTCAGCTCAGATTTAACTTCTGTGTGGAAAGTCAGTTGGAAATAGAGTTGTTCTTTGGTTTACTGGATCATGATACATTGTTGAATAATTTGTCAACACAATGATTGTGTAGTAGTAGCATTTAAGACTAAGAACAGGATATATTGCCCAACTGTAAGGCCTAAGATTACAAACAGGAAAAGGATTAGTAATCTGTGTACTATTTCTCAAAGCCAGGATCCTATATCTCTTAATCTTGCACAGGAGAACATGTCCCATAGACTATTTGGATCACCTTAGAGAGCCCAATTAGCCTTTCCTTGAGTTTTGTGACTCACAGGGGATTTTTAGGGCAGTGAACTACTCTGTATGCTACTGTAATGGCCGATACATGACATTACACATTTGTCAAAACCCACAGGCTTGTACAACACAGTGAACCCTAATATTAACTATAGGCTATAATTAATATTAATGTATCAGTATTGACTCATAACATCTAACAAATGCATACAATAATGTAAGATAATAGGGGAAATTGTGATGGGGGAGGGGTATATGAGAGTTCCTCGTACTTTTCTTTTTTTAAAGTTTTTTGGCGGCTGACCGGTGTGGGGATCCCTAACTCTATGCTCAATTTTCCTGTAAACCTAAAACTGATCTAAAAAATAAAATCTATTAATAATAATTTTAAAAACCTGAAAGGGATGTCTGCAAAAATTTGCAAGGCTTTTTCTCCTACAGGCTCATGATTTCAAATTAGCGGTGCTTCAATTTTCATAAATGCTACAAGAAAAGCTAAAACGTATTGAAAACGTATTGAAACTTTATATTCTAAGAACTGCATAAGTACTTTATTCATTATTCTACAAACCAACAAATATTAAAAGCGTCCTATAATCCAATGCAATTTAACTCATTTAATCTTCACACAATCCTATGAAATACTATTATTCACATTCTACAAAGGAGGAAATAGTTCGAAGAGAGAAGTCAAACAATACATACTAAAACGGAACGCCCATCCCGGATTCCAAACCCACAGTTCTACCCCATAAAATGAAATCGAAAAGAATTGGCGCTTGCTTATACCGTCAGCTAAGACAACGACCAGCCGAGAAAGCTCGCGATATGACACAAACTACCACTCCCAGTGTGCAACGCGGCTTCCGGCCGCCACTTTCTAACCGGAGGTCCGAAGATCCCCAGCGTGCTTCGAGGCGTGAAAGGTACCCTGGGAGCGGTAGTTCTCCGGGACGCCTACCGGCGTCGCACGTGGCGCAGCGGCGGCTCCCTTGGCTTCAGCCCCGGATCCTGTGTGGGCGACCTGAGGCGGAGAAAGGGCGCGGACTTGAAAGGGGTGAGTCAGGAACTGCCTGCGCGGTAAAGGGAGGTGGCACCGCGGCGAAGGGCTGAAGTAAGTAAATGGGCCCGTGCCCCAGTCTGTTCTGGGACGCCGCTATCTTAGCGTCAGAAAGGGAAGGCTGAGGAGGAGCCAGAGCCGGGTGCCTGCAGCCGTTCTCTGCCGCCGCCATCTCCACCATGCAGTCCTCGTATAACTTCGTATAATGTATGCTATACGAAGTTATGCCTGTTCTGGGACGCCGCTATCTTAGCGTCAGAAAGGGAAGGCTGAGGAGGAGCCAGAGCCGGGTGCCTGCAGCCGTTCTCTGCCGCCGCCATCTCCACCATGCAGTCCCGGGAAGACGCCCCGCGCTCTCGCCGCCTCGCCAGTCCCCGCGGTGGCAGGCGGCCCAAGAGGATTCATAAGCCCTCGGTTTCGGCCTTTTTCACGGGTCCAGAGGAATTAAAGGACACGGCCCATTCTGCAGCCCTGCTGGCACAGCTCAAGTCCTTCTACGACGCTCGGCTGCTGTGTGATGTGACCATCGAGGTGGTGACGCCCGGGAGCGGGCCTGGCACGGGTCGCCTTTTTTCCTGCAACCGCAACGTACTGGCTGCGGCGTGTCCCTACTTCAAGAGCATGTTCACGGGCGGCATGTACGAGAGCCAGCAGACCAGCGTGACCATACACGATGTGGACGCGGAGTCCTTCGAGGTGTTGGTCGACTACTGCTACACGGGTCGTGTGTCCCTGAGTGAGGCCAACGTGCAGCGCCTGTACGCAGCCTCAGACATGCTCCAGCTGGAGTACGTGCGGGAGGCCTGTGCCTCCTTCTTAGCCCGCCGTCTTGACCTGACCAACTGCACCGCCATTCTCAAGTTTGCCGACGCCTTTGACCATCACAAGCTCCGATCTCAGGCTCAGTCTTTTGTAGCTCACAACTTCAAGCATCTCAGCCAGATGGGTCCTATTCGGGAGGAGACTCTAGCAGATCTGACCCTGGCCCAGTTGCTGGCCATCCTGCACCTGGATAGTCTGAACATAGAGAGTGAGCAGACAGTGTGTCATGTGGCTGTGCAGTGGCTAGAGGCTGCTCCCAAAGAGCGGGGTCCCAGTGCTGCAGAAGTCTTCAAGTGTGTCCGCTGGATGCATTTCACTGAGGAAGATCAGTACTACCTGGAAGGGCTACTGACCAAACCTATTGTGAAAAAGTACTGCCAGGACATTATTGAAGGAGCCCTGCAAATGCGCTATGGTGACAAATTGTGCAAGTCTCTGATGCCAGTGCCAAACAGCAGCAGCAGTAGCAGCAGCAGCAGTTCTGTTGTATCTGCAGCAGAAAATCCAACCCAGAGGCTGGGAATGTGTGCCAAGAAGATGGTGATCTTCTTTGGACACCCCAGAGATCCCTTTCTCTGCTGTGACCCATACTCGGGTGATATTTACAAAGTGCCATCACCTTTGACCTGCCTTGCTCACACTAGGACTGTCACCACTTTAGCTGTCTGTATCTCTCCAGACCATGACATCTATCTAGCTGCCCAGCCCAGGAAAGACCTCTGGGTGTATAAACCAGCCCAGAATAGTTGGCAGCAACTTGCAGACCGCTTGCTGTGTCGTGAGGGCATGGATGTGGCATACCTCAATGGCTACATTTACATTTTGGGTGGGCGAGACCCTATTACTGGAGTTAAACTGAAGGAAGTGGAATGCTACAGTGTTCAGAGGAACCAGTGGGCACTGGTGGCTCCACTGCCCCATTCTTTTATATCCTTTGATCTAATGGTAATTCAAAACTATCTCTATGCTCTCAACAGTAAGCGCATGTTCTGTTTTGATCCTAGCCATAACATGTGGTTGAAGTGTGTTTCTCTTAAGCGCAGTGACTTTCGGGAAGCATGTGTCTTCAATGATGAGATTTATTGTATTTGTGACATTCCGGTCATGAAGGTCTACAACCCAGCCAGGGGAGAATGGAGGCAGATTAATAATATTCCCTTGGTGTCAGAGACCAACAACTACCGAATTATCAATCATGGCCAAAAATTGATGCTCATCACCTCACGCACCCCGCAATGGAAAAAGAACCGGGTTACTGTGTATGAATATGATAGTAGGGGAGACCAATGGATTAATGTAGGTGCCACATTAGGCCTCTTGCAGTTTGACTCTAACTTTTTTTGCCTCTCAGCTCGTGTTTACCCTTCCTGCCTTGAACCTGGTCAGAGTTTCCTAACTGAAGAAGAAGATATACCGAGTGAATCTAGTACTGAATGGGACTTAGGTGGATTCAGTGATCTGGATTCTGAGTCAGGAAGTTCAAGTTCTTTTTCTGATGGTGATTTTTGGTTGCGGGTAGCCCCTTAGTGAAATGCAGAGGATCAGCACAGTTTGTTGTAACTAAATTAAAACACTAAGGTGTTTTTACTGCTGTGAAAATTATCTTAAAAAGATATCTTTTCCTCTTCGGGAGGTTGGGGGGGGGGGGTTGATTTTCTGCTGATTTGGTTTAGAAACAGTAATGTTTGAAATACTAATGTAATTTAATGTTACAAAAGTTTAGTACTCAGAAATCAACCTATTTAATAATTTACTGTGCTTAAAGTCCAGTATTGATTTGATTGTTTAGTATGTTTATGTTTCATTACACTAACTTTATGTTATAATAAATTTTACATTCCCTTTAGTGCCACAGGCACTATTGCCAGATGGCATTTTGAAAGCATTTATTTTTTCAGAACAGTGTAGTATATTTCCAAAATGTTAAACTAGTGGGTTTTTACAAAATGTGCTCTGACCTAATAGAGTTTGCTAAGTTTTAGTTTAGTTTTCTCCTTTTCTGTGAAGTAAAAAATGTGCACATATGTATTAGGGTGACTTAGTGGTGATTTCATTTGTCATTTTACTTTCAGTGAGCTTACAGTCATTCTGTAATGACTGTGAGTGAGTTTATAGTCACTGAAAGGAAAAACAAATAACAGCAACAACAGAAATACAGGATACTATTGATTGAAAAGAAATTTTACTCTACTTTTGGAATCTAAAAATGTATGTTTACAAAAGGTGATCAATTTTCATCTAAAAAAATTCTAGTAATGTCATATGGTAGTGTCACCAATCATCTAAAACCTTTTTTTAAAAAAGTATCTTGTTTTGTATGTTTGTATTTTTTTGATCTAAACCTGATACATGCTTCATTGAATCAGAGGAACAGTCCCTTTTTTTCACTGGATATGACTGTGTAAAGTTTTATCCATTGCCTTGTCTTAAAAAGTTTATGTGATTCCTAAAATATTTTGACTATACAGTTTTGGTGTTTGTTCTAGAAGATTCTTCAACAGGAAGTGATGTTTCTTTACTGTTTTGTGAGATAATATTGGTTTTGAAAATATGTATAAGCTAAAAACAGTATTTTATTGAAACCAGTCTGTCAATTACAAAATCAAGTGCCAAGAAAGAACTGTAAAACTTTAAGCTGTGTATAGAACTGTTTTGTATAGCCTTGAAATATTGTCAGTTTTTTAAATCACTACATGTTCTTGGTTATTAGCTTGAAGGGGTTTTTTTGTTTGTTTGTTTTTTGTTTTGACAGCTGGTTCATACAGGAATCCAAACCTGTGAGTAGGTGTTACAACACCACACATTGAAGGTATTTTTGTATTAAAAGTTGACAGTTAAAGAACATAGTGGATGATGGCATTTGGGGCCAGTAGTCAAAGTATGTTTCCTCTAAAATATTTCTCTAGTAGTGGTATGAATGGTAATTTCATTATGGTATTTGTATACGTTCTGAGTTTCTTTGTGAACCAGGTTCCAGTCTTTGTTTTTCTGTCACCATAATGTAAGAGAAAGTCCAGAAATAGAGACTAAATCCCCTAAAACTGACATTGTTAAATACATGAAAACATAAGTGCTTACCTCTTGTAGGTTTAATACATAATGGTTGTCATGGTACATATACATGATAAATGACCAGATGTTTATGGTCTATACATTTTTTTATAACCAGTTAGAATTATCTTTCTTAATCTTCATTCAGTAGCATAGTATTTTCTCTTTAGTGTTTATTCTTTAGTGATGGAGTAACATTTCTTACAACCTGGTAGAATACAGAGGAATGTGCTGTGGGGTGGGGAACTGAATTTTTGAGTGAAATATCTTGAGATGAAAGTGGAGAGGAGACACAAAGGATTAAAAACAAAAAGCAATGTTTTCTTGGCCATTTTGATGGGCCATTTGAAGATTCTACATGACATTTTTGATTAATATCATTTTTAGTGAAACAAAATGCTTGCCTTAGCAGTATGTGTTCCTTCAAAAAAGCAATTGTGGTTTAGTGGCCTGAGGCTAAATTTTGTTCTATTTGGCATCAGGGGTGTCTTAATATGAGGGTGCACTTAATACAAAGCTATTTCTCAATAGTGTTATTTATTTATTTATTTTTGCCAACTGTTTCTTCACCATTAACTTCTTGTGGTTTTGTAAGGTTGAGACATGACAGTGCTTATCTCAACCATATTATCCATCTGCACAATTAAGGTTTGCAAACTGATGTATAAAAGTCAATCTTCAATTTGTCATTCTCAATCTCTGAGTTAAAACCTAGGCTTTATTTTGGTTTACAATAAGGTTTTCTTGGGACGAATTTTGGTTTCGTGATATATTTGTGAATTAGGGAATAGATGTTAAACATTATTTTATAGATAAGTGATTTGTATGTGGTTAGTTACAAATAAAACTGGTACTAGAACCCAGGCTTCCTGACTTTATAATTCAGTGGTTTTTCTAAATGTATGAAACCCTTGCTAGTGTGGTGAATGACACAACTAGCAATGTTGAAATCTCTTCTTGACAAGAAAGTACCCTTGTCTCAGTTTTCCAATTAATCAGCACATCTTTTAGCAAATGCATAACATAACGTCATTTGCAGGACTACTATTTGTGAGATTTGGAATGACCTTAATTATCTTTTGTATCGATGTGTCTATTGTCTGATCAGCTCAAATAACCTAAATTATTCCAAGTTCTCTTAAATTCAAATAAGTGATAATAGGGTTTCCAAAAGGATAAAATAGAAATTAATTTGACCACTAATTTGTCTAAATATGGATTAAAGATTGAAATTAAGTTATAACTTTCTTCCATCATTTTTAATTGAGTAGGGATTTTTTTTTTTTTAGTTTTGCATCTGTGTCTTATCGAGGATCTGAGGAAAGCTTTCAATCTTTTCCCAAGAAAAAGGCACATTTTCAAAATATAATTTCAGGGATGTTTGACACTTGTCAAACCCAAGGTAAAAGCACTTGTAACAGGGTTTCGCCTTCCCATACCTGCTTAAAAACTTTGGCACGCTGTTTGCATCATTCTTAGTTTAAAGGAACATTTGTTATAGCCAATATAGTAAAGGAGGGGAAAAATTAGGAGGTAAAATTATAGAAAATGTTTCCATCAATAGAAAACCCCCCAAAATAAGTTGTCTTTAGAACCAACAAGAAGGTTAAATATATACAAACCAATTGTTTTTCTGATCATCAAAAACAAAAGATACTGTTCAGAGAAGCTGCCAAACCTCAGTACCACAGAGGCCATAGGTTTTGTGCAGAATAGGGAAAAGGACCCCCTTCTTGACTCTGTGTCATTTGTCACCCAGATGTATTTTAGCAAGCTTCTGTTCCTCACATCTGTGACCATGAGGATTCAACATGGTTCAAGGTGCAGGTAGAGTAGGAAACATATTTCTACATACCACTCCCTCCACATCTGAAACATCTTTTTCTCCTAAAACAACAATCTATGGGGAGTCACCTCTCTCCAATGGAGTCAATCTTTTACATTCTTACATCTAAAGCTAAAATTACTACTTGGGACTGCCATATGAATCAGGAATATTCTTTTGGGACAAACTAATCTTTAATTCTGGAAAAACTAGCTAAATAGGACTTTATGTAACTGGCAGGCAAAATATTTCTTCCCAAGTGGATGTTTGTACCTTAAAGAGAAGAGCCAGGGGGCTGGTCAGTTAGCTCACTAAGTTAGAATGCGGTGCTGGTAACACTTTTATTGGCCAGCTGCCAAAAAAAAAAAGAAGAGCCAGGGTAATCTCAGTTGTAAGCAATAGAACCTTATTTTAGATCATCTGAAGAAAATGGAATAGAATGTTTTTCCTATTATAACTAAAAAATCCAGCAATGGCATTTAACTTCAGTCATAGCCTAAGGCAGATTCTCAGTGTCTTCAGGGTTTTTTTCTACAGAGGATATATTATGGGACAATTCTCTCAGTTCAAGTATTGGTTAGAATATAGATTGATTGTATGTAGTAGAGACCCTATAGTGGTTAAAATAAGTTTCTCAAATAAAAGTCAGATCTGATCTACAACACCTCCTGAGAGCCAGCTTTTCTTTCTGTTCTGCTATCCTTAGAATGTTGCCCTGGTTCACCTGGTCTAGGCTGATTCACCCTCATGTCCACATCCCAGCCATAAGGAGGGGAAGAAGAAGGCATGTCCTACCCTATTAAGGAAGTTGTACATATCATTTCTGGTCACATGAAAAATTGGCCAGATCTTAAACACATAGCCACACCTAGCTGCAAGGATGCCTGGGAGAGGTAGTCTTTATTCTGGGTCAGCATGTATCCAGTTAAAATTTAGGGGTTCCTTCTTATAGAATGGGGGATTAAGGTTATTAGGTTAAATAGAAATCTCTCCCACATGTTGTGTCAGGCTAGATTTTATCACATGTCAGCCACAAAGATTGCCAGGACTCTCAAGATCCACATTGTACCAGTTTAGAAGCCCCAGTGGAAACACAATATTTTGTGGTAGAAAATTAGTCAGAGGGCTAGGCCTGTATCATATAGTAGGTCTGGGGCCACTTTCTGGACTACATGGGCCGTGGCCTCCTGTAGTGTAGGAAGGTGCAGAGTTCTGGCAGTAGAAGGTAACTGAGGGAAAGGTACTGAGGCTTAGGAAGGCCGTGTAGGTAGTGTAGGAAGGTGCAGAGTTCTGGCAGTAGAAGGTAACTGAGGGAAAGGTACTGAGGCTGAGTAGTGCTATTTTGCATGCAGCTCCTGCCCTTGAGGAGGTTGGGGGCATCAGCTTCAGTGAGTTGGAGAGCACTGATGGAGAGCGCAGGTCCTGCGAGGCTGGAGCAGCAAAAGGAATGCGCAAGTCTGGGCCTCCAAAGGCACCTTTCGTTTTAGGCTGGGACTGGGCTGTCCAGGGTGCTTGTGCTCGTCTACTCAAGCCTGGCCGCCCTGAAGGTAGGTACGTGGTACGAGCAGCAGGAGGAGGGCAAGGGGATGGGGGGAGCGAGAAAACCAAGGCTCTGTATCGGGCCTGAGCTTGGGGCTACTGGAAGATAGCAGACCCAGGAGGTCCTGCAACCAACCAAATGTGGGATACACCTCCCACCCAAGAGAGACTCAGCAAGTTCCCTGTGCTCC